GTATGTATGTATGTATGTATGTATGTATGTATGTATGTATGTATGTAATACAATCATGCATGCAAAAATTAAAAACATCCTTGAAGTCAGTCTATCTGACATTTCTCCACACATGATCGGCGAATACACTACTGCCCTGCCTTCCCTCCACCCTTCCTTTTTCTGGTTACAGGCTTAAAGGCACTGTGGCGGGGAGTTAGTGAAGATGGCTGTTTTAATCCAATGATAAATTAGAGCACTCATTTTTAATAAGCTGCCAGTGACAGTGTCTGAAGTGTTCCAGAGGAGTCTGAAAATACACTCCCACTCTCATTTGTTCTTTTTTGGGCCTAAGCTTCTTCAGCCAGTCTGATCTGAGCGTTCTGAGAAAAGCAGCAGTAGGCAAAACAAGTAACATGGGATTTTACAGCTATAAGCACACAGTTTCTTAAATATCTGGGGCTTAAGACTTGGTAAGACTGAATCAATGAAACTGAGTTAAACAAAATTTTCATTCCAAAACTCTTTTGTCAGAGGATGAATTGGATCTTGATTTTCTCAAATCACATTCATTAAAGATACATGGATAAAAAAACAAAGCTAAATGTCATAGCCAAGTTCACATTTGTTGAACTCACTTGCGTCGTCCATGACATCGATGTCAGTTCCCAGCTCAGAGCTGGTAAGGTGGTAGCGGTACTGAACTGGGTCATTGAGAGCCGACAACAAGATGAGTAGGACCACAGCATTGATGAGCTGAGGAGGGAGGAAAATCCAATTTAATATCCAGCTGTGTATCTGGGAGGTAATGTTGCGAATCAGACTTATATTATATTATCTTTTCATGATATAAAATACAAAATATACAATTTTGTTAACCTGCATCAGCCTTGAAAGAAAGAACCATTGAAATATTTTAATGGAAATTATATTAAAAATCCTACATTTGGTCTTAATGTAGATATTTATATTTTTAAAAAGTAAACGGTAAAAAAAAAGACTTAGTTTTCAATTTAGTTTTTTGATATTCCTAATGTTGTGATATAGAGCAAATCGACCTGTAATGTGTGAGGAAGCCTCATCTTTGGACAATTTCATAAATAACTGTCATATCTGATATTTCTCATGCTCATTTCGCAGATTTCTGATGCATCAAGTTGCTGTTGTGACTACATCTTATGGAGTCTGCTGCTAACTTCATGGCCCACTAAAATATATAATAAAGCTTTTTGAAATGTCCATATTCATTGGACCTTCTAACCACTTGCTCTTCCCCTCCTACTGAAGCGTACACTTCAATTTGAAATGGTTATCTACTGATAAAGGCTTCGTACGACTGCACGGCTCTGCATCATGGATTACTTTCAAAATAAGTCAATACAATGGGACTAATCTCTCAAATTCAGAAATGCACATTTTGAATAAGCAAAAGCAAAAAATTAGGATGTATTTTCCGTTTAATTCACCAATTCATTTGGCTAAAATATGTAAGGATTACTAACAGAGCACCAGTGATGGCTGCTGACCAGGATCAATCCATAGAGATGGAAATAAACCTAAGTACCTGACAAGTCTTATGTCACTGTTTACACCGCATGGAAAAACAACTCACAGGAAGTAATGACAGTTTTTTATAGCCTTGGCTTTCTGTGACGACGGTGTTGATTAATAGTCGTGTCAAAGGTAGAAAACAGACTACACTTCCCAAAAGGTCAGGGATTTACAAGGCTTATTGGACTAAGTTTAAAACTATGGGTTTTCCTGTGGGTAAAAACGGAAGCAAACTATTTTTAACCGGGTACAAATATGGAACAAGACAGGACTGGAATTAAAGGTTACCCAATTAGTTAAAAACAGAACAAGTGGTGATTATTAGACTGTAACGCGCGCACCAACAAATTACTGACGTCTACACGTCTAATTAAGAGTTGTTGTTTTTAAAAAAAAAACTATTTATCTGGATGCTAAAAAAAGCTAACGTTGATTTTGGACTTAACGGTTGTTTGAACTGAAAGCGAGAGCATTCAGAAGATGGCAAATCCAGTACAAAAAAAAAAAAAAAATTTAAAGAGCGAGAGAGAAATATCAAATAAGCAGGTGTATTGAAGAAGCTAACTATTGCTCCCAAACTCCGTTTATTCAGAATTGATATATGTAAGGCACGCTCCACTTTTTAGCCCCATTCCAGCACATACCATGAAAAAAATTACGTGACTTACCATGTACCATATTCCCAGAATAATGGTGCCCGTCCGTACGTGGCAGCAAAGGCAGCAGCTCGTCGAGTACCATCGGTCCCACGGCGAAATCATTTTGAAATTTGAGGTTATTTCATGAATGCTGCCGAAAAAGAAAAAAAGGAATAAGTCTGTTCAGGCCAGCAGCTTCCGGAGCAATGGGGACTGATGGCGCCACATCCAGCGTTTGTCTGAAGCAATGTGTGCCCGTTTCCGCCAGCGGACTCCCGGCGGGCAGAGCCGTTAATCTGGTTTAGCCCGAGTCACGTGACCGCGGGAAGCTCCTGACCGAGATGAGAGCGAGGGATGATAATGGTGGTGATGATGATGATGATGATGATGATGGCGACAAGGATGCTAATGCACTTGCAAATATTTAATATCCGGACCTTAAACGAGCTGACTAAATGTGTATTTACTTATCATCAAGACAAAGACACGTACTCATAGTACCATTTAAAGTTTCCTGTTAGGGAATTTTTTTTTTCCAATGGCAGATTTTAAACAACTTTATGAAGTTGTTAAATGGTTTATGGGCACATGTACACTGCACTCACTTATCTGAAGAACTGGCAGTATGATAAAGATTAAAAGATTAATACAATAATTTTAAGATGCTAGGTACAAGCTTTTGAAAATAAGCTATTTAAGGTTTTGCTGTATAGTGATATAGTATACAGGAAAAATACTGGTAAATCCTAGCAACTGAGATAGTTCAAACAAAATTACTAATAATACCACATTCTGCTATTTTACTGTATGGAAATATGAGGAAACAGCATCAGCTAATTAATAACTATTACATAGTTATACATTCAGGAAACTAAAATCCCCCTGCATTAGAATATGATGGAAAAATGTACACTCATATTTCTTTTCAATACATTCGAGTGTGAAATCTGTGACCCAGTGTCAGACAACAACAGAGCCAAAGTAGCAGTCCGTTAAGGAGATGTTGTCCAATAACATACAGCGAAAAATACGAATAAAATATTTAAAAAGGGAACTTCAACATCATTGGATTATGAGTGAATTCCCATCCATTTGTTTAATCGCTTATTTGCAAAATGAGGTCACGAGGGGACTGGTGCCTATCCCAGTAGTCAATGGCAGAGAGGGTCCACCAGTCCATCACAGGGCCACACAGAGACACGCAACCACACACACTCACACTCACTCCTAAGGGCAATTTGGAAAGTCCAATCAACCTAACATGCAAGATTCTGGACTGTGGGATGAAGTTGAAGAACCCGGAGAGAACCTGCGCAGACAAAAGGAGAACAGGCAAACCCCACACAGAAAAACAAAATATAGGAAAAATAAAATAGTTTGGTCTCTTAATGTGTTGATCTTTGAAGACAGCCGATAAAAATGGTAAAACTTTTTTTTTCCAGGTCCCCACATTTCTGCTCACCATGGGAGAAATATGACTTTTGTTTGTAAGCTTTGAAAATATATAAAGGGGAATATATGCAGAACTACTGGTGTTTTGTAAGGGTTTTTCAGGTTAGTACCTGAAAGCCCTTAGTACTTAGAGTATCTATATGTAAAATACTCTTAAATTAAGCTTTCATGTTGCATATTTCCAGATTGACACACTGAACACACTTTCACACTGAACCAAACAGCCACATAGAAATTTTGCAGCATTTAAAAAGACATTGCAGACGCATTGCAGACATTAATATCATAAAAGCATGTTTTGATCGATTCCTGGCACATCACGATTAATAATTAATTCACAGATCATTGACAGTTTATCTCCAACTCTCTCGGTGAAACAAAACCACCACAGACTGATAAGGCAGCGATCAAACTTCATTTCATGTCAGGTTGTCCTTGCAAATATCCCTGACCAAACCCGACAGATGGGCCACCGCTGAACACAGCTCTAAGCTCTGGTGGGTGGAACGCGTCATAGTCAGATTGGGGATTTTCCTGTCCTGCAATGACATGATGGCTACCGCTTTAAACGCAGGAACACAATATAAAGACTTTGTAGCAAAATAGATTTGTTCATTTGCTACACTATGTTTAAGCATTATGTCTTTCCACTCTGAGAAGCCTCTGGGTTTCAGACACAGTGCCATAGCTTTTGATTAAAAAGAAAAAAGAACATTTCTTTTTTTTTTTTTAAAGAAGTTTTTTTTTTTAGATGAGCTTTTACCAAAACCGCACCATTCATTACAGTGACCCACACTATTACCGTCTTGTACATGACCAAAAAAAAAGACTTTACGAAAATATCCTGGCAGGAATGAATGGAAAAAAACCTGATTCCAAACAGACGCGTAGCTGCACACGTACTGAGTCAGAGATTGTGAGAGATTAAAATCTGGTAAATCCTAAATGAGCCGAACAGAGAGGGAGATGAGGCGAAGGAGGTCAGGCTCTGCGAGCTGCTGCCTGCCAACAGTGACAGAGGCAGAAGTCTGGCCACAGGAGGCTCAAAAGTCTGACACACATTTGTACCCCAGTATACAACACAGCCATGACCGTTCCAAGACTGACCTGATAAGAAACATAAAGAGGAAGCAACTGGAATTGGAGTAAAGGCATAACTGAAGGTGAGAACATGATTTAGTTTGACTTACAGTGATGCTTCTCTTGGATGTTCCAGAGCTAACTTCCATCATGAGTTTAGGATTTCAGAATACTCTCCAGTCAATTTGCTCCTCAAATTAACTACATAAACCCGGTGAAGTGTGACTAATTTCATTTGCCTGCTACACCCCCCCCCAAAATAAAACACCCCCAACAAAGTGATATTAAGCTCTGCTCATTTAATTGTGATCTTTAGCAAACAAACATATAAATATCTTTTTATATCCTCAATTAAGAAAATCCGCAAAAATCATTTCCTAGAGACATGTATATCATTACATCGACGGAAGCATTGAACCTTGTCAGTAAAAAGTGAACAAAAGGGCACCTGTAACCACAGTGACACATCATTTTGGGATTTATAAGATTTGAAAACAACTACCACCAACAGTTGACTTGACTCTCTCATCGTTGTTCTGAGGAGTGGCACTCCGAGGGTTAACAGTTAAAGCAATTTCATATCCACAAGTGCTATCATCACAGTCATGCAGAATTAATCAAATCCGACATCAAACCTTGTCAAAGAGAGAAACTACAAAAAAAAGATGCCAACGCACTTTCTATACAACTATGGGTTAAGGCAATGGAATTAAATTCCTTTCATATAGTTGTAATTGTGTGTGTGTGTATGTATGTGTGTGTGTAAATATCTGAAGTGGAATTAAAGCGGCATTCAGTCTCATCTACATGGAAGTTTTCATTCTCGAGTTTAAATTAAATCTCCCAAACAAAAAATCACGACCGAACTTTAGAAAAGAGTTTCACATTCCTTAAAACAGTATCTAAAAAAAAAAATCATCCGACATTACAAAGAGCTCATTAAAACCTTTTGCACAGTGCAATTACAGAACTGGAAAAAGCCCTTAATCTGTACATATGGCATGGCTTTTTCTAGCACAGAACTGGAAGAAATTGTTTTTGGGAAAAAATAAAATAAAATCATACACAGTGCAGACAAAATTATTCATAAAAATCAACAGACAGTCTAATCAGAGAAAGGCAGATAAAAAAAATGGTGAAAATGATAAAAGTAGAACTGCACCGGTGCTGCTGGATGGTTTTATCCCTCAAACTCTTTACAGCAAACAGCACCCCCTGGTGGTGTGTATCGGTTACTGTCAACAACACTTACTAAAACCTCAGTGTTGACAAAGAGAAGCCTATCTTAATACATCCCCCTACATGTCACATATCCCATGCTGGGTGGGGATATCTTCATACTGAAAAGAAAACCTTGGATGGATGCCGTGTGCCATGAAAGGACACAAATTCTGACAGTACCACGATAATTGTGTGATGACTACTTAAACCAATGAATCAGAGGATGTTGTGGGGGCGGTCTATGTCAGTCAAGGTGAGTGAAATGCAAACCCTTGAATGTGAATGTTGTACTTAGACAGACTCCAACCCAATCTAAACCCATTTTCATCTCTCGCTTAAAGACACTCGAGTAACTCGTGGAGGGGGCAACTGCAGTGCCGACAAAGCAAAGTGCATCATTTGGGGTGGAGATAATAAAAAAATAAAAAATAAAAAAAAACTGTTGTTCTCTATCAGCTTAAAAACTAAAAACTAAACTTAAAAATGAAAACCTGTTTTGTATTTTTGGCTCATGACTACTTACACTCTGGCAGGATAACAAAACAAAAGCCTTTTCGAAGCCATTAACCTCCATGACAAATCCACAGGAAACTTCTCTGGTCGCAGTGTATCAAATAGTGCAAAAAATTAGTTTTCGGTCCATAGGACCGCAATTCGTCACTATTCCGGATTTATCCAAGCAGGTTAAATCTGCTGCTTGCTTTCATTTTGTTGCTGCGATTGGTTAAATGTTATGGAACTTGGAAAGAAACGGTACCCGGTAGTTATTGCATGTGACACGTTTGACAATCATTTGCATATGCTTTCTTCAGATGTCTGCTGTTCAAGTTTCCCTTCTGACTTTTTTCTTCTGGGAGACCTTTGGTGGCTCTACCACCTGCTCAGACTTCTCTGTGAGGAAAAAGAAAGAAAGACAGATTTGCATTTGGTGGTAATATTTTTACACATATTTGTGACTACAGGTGTACAGATTTAAAGAGAGAGTTTTTGAAACATACTCTGGGAGGATGTTGTGCTGGTGTTCTGCTTTTTAGAGGCCGGCACAGGAAGCTCTTGCGTTTTGGTTCCTGCCCCGATTGCTGGAGCGGTGGTCACCGTCTACAATCACACAAATGCATCACGGTTAGGTTGTAACAAGAAAACGCCGGCAGTGGATTCATGGGGAAACGTGACTAAATGATAAAACCGTCACTGGTTTCTTGCCTGAGCATCAGACGCAGGCTGTTCTTCCGTTTTCTTCTTCTTTTTCCTGTTCTTTTTAGATTTGGCTCCTCCTCCAGAAGGATCCTCGACATCCTTCTCGTCCTCTGACTCCTAAAATTACAAAAAGCACTTTAGATAGAAATGGGAAAAACCCCGAATGGGAATGATTCAGAAATCAAATCAACAGGAGAAATGGCGATGTAAAAGGGCCTTTGGATTTGAACCTTTTTGGGGACAGGCGGATCCCTCTGCAGGGGAGCTGGCCCCACAGTCACTGGAGCCTCCTCGTAATTTCCCCACGGTTCTAGTGGGGCGTTCCAGTCGGAACTGGTATCTCCTGCTGCCGTACCATCTACAAAAAAAAACAATTAAAAGAGCATGTCAAACATCGAGGTCAGGCAGAAGATGGTCCCATCAGAATCCCCAGTTTCTAACGAGCAGCAGACCACTTACTGAAGCCAGACCACTGATCATCAGCGTTAGGCTGGCTCGCCCACTGCAGCTCAGCCGAGTTTGACAGCGTGTCTACAAGAAACAGACAGTTATCGAATGAGTAACGGAGGTAAAGACAACGCGTGAAGCATTCGTACAAAAATACTACAATCGACTTGAGAAAAACAAAGAAGGATCCCAACATCAAACTTTCCAGCAAGCGGAGTTGGACAGTTAATGAAAACACAAACCTGTGGCCTTCAGTCCCACCATGGAGAAGGACACGGGGTGGAGGTCAGCTTTTATCCGGCCGTCGCCGCTTCCCCATGCTGCTGGTAAAGCACACGGATCATACAAGAGTCAGTCACACTGTTACTCGGTGAGCACTGGAGAAAGCGTTTGAATCTGTCCTGTCATCATGTCCACTAAAAAAAACAAAGTTTGTTTTTAATGCATAATGCCTGCCAGATTTCTGAATTCTAAAATATCATTGAAGACAATCTAACCATCTGTCTGCTCAAAAACAAGAAAAACAGTCACTTTTAGAGAGAAGTTTTTCTATTAAATCAATGTCCTGGGAACAAGGAAGTGTTATGTGTGGTACTGTGTACTGAACTCCTCGTTGTTCCCCCCGCAGAGCCCATATGACTAGCCAGCTTCAGGGACATGTTGGACCAGCTTCCACCGTTGACCGAAGGCTCCTCTTTCCAGGTGGTCGGTGCTGAGAAAGCTAGCGAAAAACAAAGCAAGGAAACAAACTCAGCTCTCACAGAGGTCAACGTGAATGCTGTTTGGGTGCCTCTAAGGCCTTTTTATTTTAAATCAGTACATTTGAAAGTAATTAAGGAAGTGATGAGACATAAAGGCTTGATCCATACCTGCACCACTGGAAGCATCGACCTTTGTACTAGTTTTTGAGTGCTGGGTCTCTGAAACGCATTCAGAAAAACATTTGTTACTTCACATCTTGAGTACTTTGTATGTTAATACGGTGTGATGATGTTTGTTAACCAATTTGTGATTTTACACCATGTTTCAGGGTGTCTTAAACCCATATTTTCATCAGTTATCCAACTCACTAAATCAAAACATAACCATTTAACATTGTGAATTTCATCTTCTGAAGGGGATTACCATGGTTTCCTCGGTTCTTCTTGAAAGGAGCTCTGGCGACAGGTGCCTCCGTGTGGGTTTTGGGAGTTTCCACACCTCCTGTGCCCCCTGAATCCTCAGGGCCTTTGTCCTTCCTGCGCTGTTGCCTCTTCTCCCGGTTGCTGACTTTGGTCTCCCATGCCCCTGGTCAGCACACACATAAATCAGAGAATTCTTACGTCGCACTTTACAACAATTAAGTGTAGCATAGGTGAGACTCATGGTGGGAGTTGACGGGGTAAAAATCACTCTGAAAGGGAGGAAGTTACCAAGAAAAAACCCCTGTTGGCTGAAACATACCGTCGTCAGGTTCCTTCCCATCATTTGCGGGCACATGTTGAACTGGTTTCACATCTAGCTTGGGTTTTTTCTTGTTCTTTTTAACCTGCACCGGGGCCTGCACCGCATGCACCTGAGACATAAGACAACTTTAGGTCAAAGAAAAGTATGAATGACAACTTTCCAAATCAACAACAACAACAAAAAGTTATTTAATTTTGTCACACCTTTACAGCTTTAATTTCTTGAGTCAGTTTGGAATCAGCCACAGTCACTTTGGCTTCCTCTTGAGCCACAGCCACCGGTTGTCCATTGGACTGAGTCTTCTGAAGGAGACGTGTACATTTGACAAACAAAACACTGTTAATGATCCAGCAAAAAAAGCCAAACATAAATCTAAGCTTTGGCCAGCCCATTCAGTTTTCCCTTTTAGAAAAGCACTGCTAATAATAGCATTACAGTACCTCCACCAAACTATTACAAGGAAATTAGCTATTTTCTTGCTGAAAATAAACTAAATACGATTTATTCGGCAGATAACATTGACCAAAATTAATAATGACGACTTATCTCATGTACAATCAAATACTGGGATATGGGTTACAGTTTTGAGCCATGTCTTTATATTAATTACTTCTGGGGCTGCCTAAAATGACAACGCGTCCCATCTGATGTTAGAATATTGTTTCTGTGAGGTACGGTGTGTCGAAATGAGGGCCAAAACACAGTCGCTCAAATAAGCGTTTCCATAAAATGCCTCGGAAAAAAAACCCTGAGGTTCGAATGTGCACTTTAGCCGAGACAATGACGTGTCAGTTAGCTACTCACTCAGCTAGTTAGCGTCCCTCTGCGCGAGGAACACTGATTCATAGCATTTCGGGATGCTAACTGTTGTTTATACCCACTTTAAAGGCTCAGAAGCACGTCCTCTGATGGCTCAATACGTGTTTTTGCACACAAAAGGGAGCACAACACCAATGCCAATTCACGAAATAAAGTAAACTTGCTAAATTAGCATCTACCCGCGAGACTCGAGACAATTAAGGACCATTAGCTAGCTTACTTTCTCTATTGACCGCTAACTGAGGGAACACCTCTATAGCTCTGGTTTTCTGTCGTCTCGTCGCGACAAGCTTGTTCCCGCTGCCCACCTTTTCCAGCGGTTTCTTTTTATTCCTCTTCCTCTGCTCCTCCGGTTTGCTGTTTTTGATCAGGTCGGCCTTGGCGGGCTCGCCGCCGCCGCCGTGGGTGAGCGCCGGGGATCCCCGTTTTTTCCCGTTGAACAGGGCGGCCCAGGAGCAGGCGAGCAGCAGCAGGAGACCCGCCGCGGCCGTGGACAGGACGACCCACGTCGGGTAAAGCTCGGGCTTCAGACCCAGGTCTAACCCGAACTGGGTCCGAACGTAGCCCTGTCCCGAGGACACGAGCTCCTTCAGGCGACTGGAAAGCAGCTCGGCTTTCTCCAGCGCGAGACCTCGCAAGTCCCCAGCCATCTTTACAGAACGCGTAATCAGGAGCTGTTCGCTTTCATTTCCAAGTGTCTTGCATCCGTATGCCTGGCGGAGGAGTGGCTAATCTAATCTGATTGCTGGGTTAAGGGAATAAATTAGTGTTTAAACTTCCACTGCAACCCGTACATTTAGTTGCTGGTGGTGAATAAATCGACAATTTCTCAATTCACAAATGTATCATCCCAAGAACACGCACTAACATAAAATTAAAAAGCCACACAAAGCTTATTTTACTTTACAATTAAAAAAAAGACAAACAAATCCCATGCTTCCAACAACCAAATAATTTTTACAAAATTATTTATTACATTTTTAAAAGTATAAATACAAATATTAAACTAAACCGTCCAGAAACCAGTCAACTGAATGTATTCTTGATTAAAGCCACCTTTAAAATGTCCCCTCTTGCTCCCCTTAGATTACAGTAAACCAGAAACCCAGTATTTTGATGCAGTGTTATGAATCTGCAAAGTTTAAAGTACAGATTAGAATTATTTGCTGTAATCAGGTGAATATTTGCTCCAGTTAATTTGATATATTTCATGTACTGGTAAAGGTCGTCAAAATATATGCTGCAACTTGATTTTTTACAATAGAGAAACTCCATACCCAAACAAAAATAAATAAGTTGACCCAATGTAACAGATGCATTTAAAAAAAGTGCCCATTCAGTTTCAAAAGTCTGCGTCCAGAGTGAATTCACAGTCCATCGTGCTGGACATCACTCCAAATCTCTGATACTCTCCCACTCTTTTTTCAAAGAAGTTTGTTTTCCCCTCCAATGAAATGGACTCCATGAAGTCGAATGGGTTGTCCACGTTGTAAACCTTGGGTTATGGAGTAGAGAGAAGAGAAAAACAAAACAACAGCAGTCAAATAGTTGGCAAAACATACGTCATCATGGTCAGGAACTATCTGTTCTGAGTCCATTAATGCTGGACATTGTTGGGCTTTTCTCTCACAACCATCTTAAACTGAATTACCTTGGCTTGTCCCAGATCAGCGAGCAGCCGGTCGGCCACAAACTCGATGTACTGCTTCATCAGACAACAGTTCATTCCAATGAGATTAACTGGTAAGGCGTCCGTCAAAAACTCCTGCAACGTAAAACGGCAAATTCTTATCTTAGAGCTGCCTGACAGGAAAAAAATGGTTCTTTGAAATTGGAAAAAAAACAAACATAATGAGGCCTAATAGAGCTTCTTTTTTTTTTGTATTTTTCTTTTTTTTTTTTTAATAGTATGTAAACCTTGTGTCCAGTATTTGAAAAAAAGGGGAAAGACATGTTTTGATAATTCAAAATGGGGATTTTGGTCTGACCTGCTCAATGCAGACAGCTTGGGTGATGATGTCTTTGACTCTGTCCTCTGAGGGCTTTTTCTCCAGGTAGCTGAACAGCAGGCAGGCAAAGTTACAGTGCAGACCCTGGAGAAGGAAAAAAAACACAAATTGGAAGAGCTGATATAATGTTTTCAGGCCTAAACCAGGGCCTCCTCTACATTTGTGAGGTACTGCTGGTGGAGGATGTATATCAGTCAGTAGACACATAAATCAACAGAAGAAAAACCCTGGTAACAAGCTCAAACCATCTGAGGGTTACTCATAGCATCATCCTGGAGAAAGGAGTGAGAAGTCTATGTTTAACTTTATGAAAGATGTTCACCTCGTCCCTGCTGATCAGCTCATTTGAGTAGGTGAGGCCCGGCATGAGGCCTCTCTTCTTCAGCCAATAGATGGCAGCAAACGAGCCTGAGAAGAAGATGCCCTCCACAGCTGCGAAAGCCACAAGCCGCTCCCCTGAGGGCACGAAAGACAAAAAACAAAAGTAAAACATTTCACCTAGACCTGTTTACCGTGTTTGGTTTTCAGTGCCAAGAATTACATGTCTTCCTTACCAAATGTGGATTTGCTGTCGTTGATCCACTGGAGGGCCCAGTCTGCTTTCTGCTTCACGCAAGGCATCGTTTGAATGGCGTTGAACAAATAATCCCTGCAACACAAAAGCTTTAAGTTAATATGAACCACTCAAAATTCACAATCCTGGTATTCATGCCATAGACTGGTCCTCTAAAAGAAATGATGTGTTTCCCTTAAGATTTCTGTCTCATGTCAATTTATTTAAAGTCTATGGTTTAATAAGTCACACAGACTCTGGTAAGACCAGCTAGAAGACAGATTTAAAGAATATGTATCTTATTTGGCATTAGCGTGAGACTGGAAACCTGAAGCAAGATCTCTAAAGGAAAAAAAAAGTATGACATTATGATTCCAATGACCAGTGGAGAACGGAAGCAGATAGAAATTTGACTAAACAAATTCACCATCGCAAAGTCACGCAGCTCAGCTGAAGGCATACTATCTCTATAGTAGCATGTAGTTAAGCTACAGATTTCTTATTATTAATTCAAGTTTGCCATAAAAAATCATTCCAAATATACCAAGTATTGTCGCTATAAACACAGGTGGATGAAAGTCACTGAAAAAAAACGAGAGCTGCTTAAAAGTGGTTTTCTTTTGTTCAGTGGGCTCAGAGAGAAACAGTTCTCATACCCAAAAATATTTATCACAACATGCCATGTAAAAGCACCAGGGGGTCATTCAAACAAGCTACCATATTACTGGAAAGCAGTGCGTGTCTGGAAGCAAACAAAAAAAGGGAACAAAAACAACTGAAAACAACAGGATGCATGAACATAGATAGAGAGACACAGAGAGATGTCAAAACATTTTTTAGGAACTATTCGTTTTTCCTGCGACAGCATGAAAGCTGCTGCAGCTGGGAATGCAGCACAAGTCCCCAGAGCATGGTTCAGTCATCCAAAGATAAACAGGTGCAGCTTTTGATATTTTTTCTTGGTGTTGAGACTACCGACCCCCAAAAAACAGTCACCCCCTAAAAAAGGAAAAGAAGAACAGGGAAACTGACCTCTCCTTCAGGTCCCTGACGTAAGTGTTGATGAGCAAACTGTACATCTCTGAGTGCACGGTCTCTATGAGGATCTGGAAGCTGTAGAAGGAGCGTGCTTCCGGGACCTGCACCTCCTGGCTGAACCTCTGCACCTGTTGTGGCACAAACGGTTAAACCACACGGTGTAAAACGGGCTTAAAGGCAGCCATTCACTCCACTGCCAACACCTTAGTGAAGTGAACTGATCCCTTCAGTGGCCCCTGATCATTAAATGGTTTCACAATCAAGCCGGGTGGTTAAAAACAAAAAGGAGGCATTTTTTTGGGGGGTGAGTTTGACATCCCGCTGCCCCTCTCACCAGGTTCTCGTTGACGATGCCGTCGCTGGCTGCAAAAAAGGCCAAGATGTGGGAGATGAAGTGTTTTTCCTCGGCTTTCAGACAGTCCCAGTGCACCAAGTCTTTGGATAAATCGACCTGAAAGATATGTCAATAATCCAGTTCTTCAGACGTCAGTGCCAGTGGTTTTTGATGGCATGTTTTTGTTGGAGTGAACCCAAAGAGCCTTACATGATATTCGTGTGCCGTAAATTGATTTATACAGGATATATTTTCACACAAAAATACCTATTAGCAAGCGCAATTGTATAAAATCAAAATTAAAAAACAAGCAAATTAAAAAAAGAACACCCACCTCCTCCACTGTCCAGAAAGAGGCCTGTGCCTGCTTGTACATCTTCCAGATTTCCGGATGCTGGATTGGGAAGATGACGAACCGTCTGGGGTTTTCTCGGAGTAAAGGTTCTTCCTCCTTTTCTGAGCTGTTTTCACACCCTTCATCTTTTTCTCTGAAGCCGTTCTGCAATAACCAGACACATTGCTTTTGAATCCGGCCCAGCTTAAAAGTTTTTAAAACTTCGTTGCAAATAGAATTTACGAATTGGTCCTTTAATTACGACATTAAGCACTGCGCCTGCGCATTCTCTCATAACAAAGGACGTGAGTGACATTAACATTAAACTATTAAAAATGTTGACACGGCAAGGAATGATTATGTCGCCTTCTTCTCACCGACACGTTACTGCGACATTTTTAATGGCTGTTTTCTTTTTTAAATTAGAGCCACTGAACGCAACTAAGAGCTGGCTGACGTTCATACAGCCATATTTCCTTGACTCATGCAAATGCTTTCAATGTTACATGTTCGATATAAATACGGACAAAACGTGGATTTTACAACGAGACAGGAAGACTCCGACGTTTAGCTACCGGTTTGTTTATCGGGTTACGTCCCAGCAAAGTCGAAAATACAGTGTTTTAAAAATGATATTTTACTGTCGTTCACTTTTCCTGAGCTAGCGTCTCAAACCGTTCACCGATTTGTCGGCGTTATCAAATTTCTGACTTACATTTAAGTGACCTGTTTCCTGAGAAGACGACTTCTTCACCGTTGGCGTCATTATGGCAGAAGAACTTGGCTCTTCTTACTAGCTGGAGCTTCGTGCCATTACCCTTTAAATGCGACTGGGGCTCTGAACTGACGTGCCCTCGGAAAGTTACAGCGCCCCCAGCAGCCTTTAGCGAACAGCACCTGAGGTGTTACAAAACAGTTTCACTGGCAGCGAAACAATAAAAACAACTGTCACTCGAAACTTTTAAGCCTGAGATCCACAAAAGACCCAACACCTTTCAAATAAGTCGGTTAAAATCAAAGAATGAAAGTGTTTCTATGCTAATTTTGTGTAGTTTTGGTTAATCATGTGTAATAAATAACACAATGGGCTGGAGCCTTACCCAGCTAACATGGGTCAAAAGGCAGGATACAACCTCGACAGTTTACAATTTTGAAGCTTAAATATGAAGGAATAATAGAACAACAAGTAGAAACAACAATAGAAGAATGTCAATATTCATTGATGATCTTAAAGTCTTTGTTACTTGGGACAACACGACACTCCTTAATTGTCTTGGTCTTAAAGTTTGTGTCTTTCTTATAGCTGGGTTATATCTACTGACAACCCACACATTTACATATTATCCAAGAATTTGGCTTTGCTGTTGGTGGAAACGGTTTGTGGTGTGACAAGCTCCTTTGAAATGTGCTCTAATTTTTTCGATTCATTACATCAGGGATATGTGCATCACAAACTCAGAATATCTTCAGGCCATACTTGGCAGACTTGTTCGTCCTGTATATTCTCCACCTGATGTTTGTCTACCTGAATAAAAACACGGGATGAGTCACTACTTATTACAAAACAGAATAAATGTCCTGTGTGAGTCATTTACTTTGTAACATAATCTTCTGTGGCTGGCACTTAAAATTCTAAATGGCATTTAAATTACATTTTATTTAACAAATATAGAATAACTTTTTGAGTCAAAGGTATTGCAAGAGAAATGGTTCATTTAATTGTTTTACCCACTTAGGTGTTGAAACTACACACCTTTCTAAATTTTTTGTTGTATTACAGTTGTCAGAGGACAAACATAAAAAACATTTAAAGGAAAAATGACATCTTAGTATTAAATTTGTTTATTAGACTGGAATGTTATTTTGCACATGGAAAGTACAAGCTTGATGATGTTATGTAGGAACTTTACAATTTCCCTCTGAGAGGACACTGAACTGCAGAGGGACTCAGAGATTGATGTTGATGCATGTAGTTTAAACCAATCCGGAACACTAAACTGGAATGTTGTGCACTCCCAACCTAAAGACATCATTAGTGCATGCCCATGCACAGTTTTGGGACTTCAGCATAAACACCTGGTGGAAGGCCATGGGCGGATCATCATCTGCCTGTGGCAGAAACAAAGATTCATGAGTTCAATTATATTAGACAGACTAACTGCATAAATGGCCTGAGATTAGCAGTAAAATGCATCAGGTTTCTATGACAATTGAATTGAAATGTACTAGCTTACCTGTAACTGTCCAAAGACCATGATGAGGATACAACTGTCTATCGTTGGTTGGAAGTCTTGCTCTGTGATTATGTGCTTAATACGCTTGAAAGGAAGGTTCTGTGGATGAGATTGTTATCTGATCAACAATTAAGACCAAGTATGTCCAATACTAATACTGTAAAATGACGAGAAAAAAGACCCCAGTTTGCCCAACGACAGGAATACAAAGTGCACAAATACAGGCACCAAAAGGGGAAAAATAGTCTGAGCTGGAAGTTAAGGTAATTCTTTCAGTTGTGATTAATATCAATAACTTACTACGAGCTTGCCGGCAATGGCCTCTCTCCCTTGAAATGGTGACCCTTCCCAAGTCAAACATGCGTCCGCGGACTGAGGAGGGAGGGGGAAGACTTGTTTAATCAAATGAACACAAAGTCATTTCAAATTACCAAGATTCATAATATACAAACATTTAATGGGGTTAGAGTTAATGCAAATGTGACCACTGACAGATGCTAACACCTTAGAGCAAAAGAACAATAACTTACGTATAGGTTAGCGAGACCCAACCTGTTGGTATTATCAAACTGGTTATAATATTCCTGCACAAAGCCCTCTCCAATCTTTTGCCATAATTCCTTCTCACAAGCCATGTGTAAAACTTTGGATCTGTGAAAAAAAGAAAAAGCCAGTCAAGGTGATTACACGTTTTTGAGTACACAAACATGTCAATTTACTTGAGATATACAAGTGATGATTATATGAAATAAAGCGCCAAATAAGATTACAAATCGATCAACTACAATCTACAACGGGGCACAATTATAGATCTAACCAATGAGCTCCCGGTTATTTTACATCTGTGAAGTATTCTATTCATAGACCCAAATAAATAAATGCCGCTCCACGGTATTTAGTTGCGTCACATTTAGACCCAAACGTGACGTACCACAAACCGGAAACAATAAGTCAACTTCCTCTGTAGGCTACACAGTACCTACATTTTGAAGTAAAAGCAAAATATATACTTAAAAACCTTTGCAATAAGTAAAAGTCGTGATGGAGTATGGAAATACATGACATATTTAGCTATTCGACCGTCACTTTACACTGGAGTAAATTCTGCTTTAAAAGCTCACTATCAATTTCAAGTAGATGACTAACTACTAAAGAACTGTTAAGTAACACGATATAACATCTACAAAGGAGAGAACCGGGCGCTGGTGTGAGTATTGAGCGGGTTAGCTATGACAGAAAATGTCTACTATGTGCCAGTTTTCCTCTACACTTTACCCTTCGTTGAACCTCCAGCGGTTCAAAAGTAACGTGGCTAGCACGACCGGAGCACCGGGATTTCTCGAAACTACTCTCTCAACCTGGTTCAAGAATGTATCCACGTTTCACTCTTCTAAGGGCTTATAACACCACAATCTTTCAAAAAACACTTGATACAAAAAGCATTTAACGTTGTCCGTCAGTTCAGCTTACTTTTTTCATCGACACGAAAAACAGCGTTCACTGGAAAAACTGCTCTATATTCCCGCTTCATGGACCTGTGGCTAACGTAAGACGTCATCGCAACGTAACCAATGAGAGTCCGGGACGTGATTTTCCCTGACCACAGACTGTCAGGCTCTCAACTTGTGCTCATACTTAAATAATAAAATGAAAAGAAAACATGTATATATTTCGAAGTAGTTTCAATTCCGCCATATTAAATCTTAGTTGACATATTCTGAATTTGTCATGAGCTAAACGTTGCGACGTGCAAATGTAATTGTAAATGTAAAGTGACCAGTTGTTGTTTTTTAAACCTGTGATGTTAATTCTAAAAGAATTAACCTAGACCTATTTTCTTTCTGCTCCCCCAAAACACGAAAATGGCTTGAAAAACACATTTAATAAATAATGGCTCGTGAAATAATGAGACATTTTCTTAAATATTTTTAATGATTATTGTAAAAATGTAAATCAAAATCAATATGCAAATGAGAAATAATTTACCAACTATTTTGGCAAATAACCATATAGCTGTTACTACCGCTGCCATGTTGTGAGGGTAGGGGCCACACCATCTTGAGGCAAGATCAATGGCACCTCCAGTGACTTTTAAAAAAATTCAATCACAAGTACATCCTTGGCAAAAAACATTTCATTATCAATGTCAAGTGTGAAACTAAAACAATTCACCTTTTTTTGTCTGTGCTTTTTTTGAAAAAGGTGCCAGGAACAATGTAGCCCACTGTCAGTGCGGCAAGTGTCCTCCACAGCCAGTCAGACGTGACCAGATAAAATGGAAGACATTAAATATTTATCTGGGCAAATCAATATTGTATGGGGAAATAGAAGAAATATACAGAAATACAGGCTAGTTCAGAACAGATTGCAGGTCCTTCCAGAGAGCACTGGCGAAAACACAATTCCTATTAAAAAAAAAGAAAAATCTTGAGTAATTTTTTTTATCTAAGAGCTTTTTACAGCCGCTCTTAAACTCCCATCTTTACAGTGTTCTATTGGCAAGTGGGGGGACTTTGGCTTCCCGACTGTATAACGTAACACCGTTTCCTTAGGAAAACTAAACTGAAAGAAATGGGACCCATTTAGGCACTTCTAAAACCATGTTGCTACAGTTCAGTGCTCATCGCTGCCAGTAAAACGGCACCCAATAATGAAGAATGTCGTCACACACTTGACTTCCAGTGAATTGTTCAAAAAGGCTGCTATTGCTTCTTTGAGGCCACTGCACCGATAGATCCTCTTCCAAGGGATGGCAGTAGAAGTTGTGTGTAAGGTTTAACCCGCAGGCCTCAGAGGTTAGGATCAACTTCTCTCTTAAATGTTCAGCTCTGTCACTGTTCTGCCCGGGATGTGAAATAATCATCTGTCCGGAACACACTGGGGATCTCTTGGCGCTGATGTGCTGCTGTTCTTCGTGGGCTGGTCTGTTTCTGGGAGTCAAGAGACACATGTTGACCCCACTGATTGACGTAGAAAGTACACTTAATTTACCATGGGTTACCATTGATCCCAAAGCACAAAACTCGGAGGTTACGTCAGAGGAATTGGAAAAGCATTATTGGGTTCTTACATTTAAGAAGCCGGGAACACTCATTGTGCGGAGGATCTTCTTGAAAGCACTGGGTAGTGCTCCTAACTCTCCCTCTGCCTGCGTGACCTGCTCCTCCATTGCGTTTACATTGGCTCCCACCATCTTTACAAAGGCCTGTAGCCACAGCAGAGAAAGGAGAAAGTATGACTTGGACAGACTATATTTGCTCCGATCCAAAGCCGTGATTATCTTCACATCAAAGTATCATGCAGGCTTATCTATCACTCTATAGGTGTGCTTTGTTTTCATCTGCAGTCTGCCTGTTCTGCATCAACTCTGCTGCCAAACCTTGTGACTGAAACAAGCAGCAAAGATTTGGGAAAACCAGTCTGATGCAAAGGATTAGGGTCTGGGTGGATGTAAATGTTTACCATGAACTACATGTATGTCTACTAACAGCAAACCAAAATGACATGAATGGGAATAAGAACCAATGGTACATCAGCCCCTTACATTACAGGCTAGTTTCAGTCCTAGTAATGTAAATAACAAACATCAATGTACTCAAAAATGCTTCAGTCATGTCTTCATCCAGAAGAAATACACATTTCAAAAGCTCCATATAAACAGTTACTGAGCTACTTACCTCTAATTTGTCGATTTTTCTGTAAATTTGTCTCATCTCGTCGGCCTTCTGTTGGATTTGAGGTAGATTTTCATTCACTATTTGGGAGGTATCGTTACGAATCTGGTGACAAAACACAATGGGTCACAAGTCAATTCTATTTGCCATTGCACAAAACCTCCACTATTAAATCAACCGTCCACACTCACCATGTCCAGCATCCCGACAAACTCATCTACTCTCGTGAGCATTTCTTCCAAGCTTTTCTCCAAACACAAGATCTAAAAGGGGAATTGTGTACAGGAGAATCACGTGACACACATACAGTACCTACTATGCACATGCATAGCCAGAGAGCTGCTCAGCCTCAAATTCAGCCCTTCTTCCACCAGTATTGTGCCACATGTAACCAAAGGCTTACAACACAGGGGTCTTTGTCTAAGAGTTCGAATATAATATAGGCTGCCTCGTGTCATGCATATCCACTTAATGCCCGGTCAGTGAGCTCGAGACGTAAAAAACTGATAGGGACCAGCGTCACTAAGGTGGCCACTAGCTGAGCTTGGGAGTTGTTGTGGGGGCTTGTGAGGGTCTCCGTCCGCTAAACATGCCACTGTCTTTTGAAAATAACTCACATATGAATCCATATGATCTAAACTAATATATTTGCGGGTGACAGGACCGGAATATACAGGAAAACGGTGTCTGTAAGCAGCGCAGGCACGCAACTCCCCAAAAAAAGCTAATGCTTGTTTCTCCGCTCGGTTCGTCTTGGCTTCACTAACCTCCTCTCCGGCCGTCGCCCGGACGTAGGACGAGTACTCGAGGGCGGTTTGTCTCAGGACTTCGTCGTCCTGCTCCGAGTTGTGCTGCTCGCTCGCCTCGCGCTCCGCCGCCTCGTCGAGGCTCGCGCTCCGCGGGAAGACGTTAGCTACCCCCGCTACCGCCGCCGCCGCTCCGAAGCTGGGGCTCTGCGACACCGTCCCGCTGCTGAGGATGTCGCTCACCATGGACAGACTGCTAGCGCTCTGGGACACGATGCCGCTGTCTCTGCTTATCTCGGCGCTGGACTCCTCGAGAGGAGACAGGAGGCCCACCCTGTCGACCCGGTGGTGGTCCATGTCGCCTGTTTTTTTTCTTTTCTGTTCTACTGCCGTGTTTTGCTTTGTCAACTGACCGAGTCACGTGGGTTCTACCCTGGACGGGAGCCCGCGAGGGGTAAAAGAAAACGCAGGCGTTTTCCAACAAAATGTTGAGAACGTCCCTCAAACCATTTTCAGAATGAATTGTTCCGCTAAAGGCTTAAACATTCAACTGACTTAAACCAATGAATTAATGATTTGTTTACGTTATTGTTCATAAATGAAAGCATTCAGCGACCCTTTAGCCTTTGGAGCCAAGCGCTTCCATTATAAAGGATATTACACCCATCTGAATTTAAATATCTAATCACAAAAACAAGGTGGTGACGCATAGCAACTTTGAATGGAAGTAATAAAAGACGCAGGTTTTTCCCGTTTTTTTGTGAGTTATCCTATGTAGTTACAGTCTCTGTCAGCAGATGGCAGCCGGAATGACCTCATGGTCTGACGCACTTAAACTGTGTTGAAAAGGTCTCTTACACATATTAGTTTTTTAATGTTTTTTTTGTTGTGTAAACACTATTGTGTATTTGTTGACTTTTGGAAGAATCTTACCAGTGGCCGTCAAAGTTGTGCCATCATATTGTGAATTTCCACAATTTCTGACAATGTCTTCTGTAGGAACTCTGTAATCATAGTACAGTCGAATAGTCAGCAGCATGCGTCTTTCACCAGAAAAACAGATGTGGGTGTTCTCCTTCTGATGAGTCAATGATACCGGTGACAATGATTGATTTTGGGACATTAGGGAGCCTCTCACTTAACTCGGCACCTTTAGATCTGCTGGATGTTTGTCCCGTGTCGAGCTGTTTGAGCAGATTGGCATCCTGAGTAAACACCCAAGACCAACATTCATTAGTAGGGAGGTGAAAGAAGTTTTCTCCTGCTGATGTAGGGTCTCAACATGACACAGATGCATTCCAGGTGAAGGGTTGGTTGTAGCCAGAGGCCAGATGGTGACGAAGAACGGTTGTGCAAGACTCAAGGAATTCAACCTTCAAATAATTTTTTGTCTCATTTTGTAAAGTCTACAGAAAGGTTATTTTGGAAAACGTGGCCTTGATGTCTTAATATTCCCTTCAACCTGACAATGACCCTCACCAGACATAGATTGGCTCGATTAAACTGGGGATTTTCACAACTAGTAAGAGGTTCGAGTAATAGCAATGGCAATGATGAATTTTTATTTTACTTTAATGACAGTAAATTGTAAAAACTTGCAGGAAAAGCAGACACAATTTTCTGTTTTACCAACACTGCTGTTCAAAAAACTGGGAGAAGGGCTCTGAAGATTTCATCAGCTGTCAGATACATTTCGGGAAGGAAGCTTCTGCCTTTTCTTTTGAGCTGAAAAATACAATCTTTGTGCAGTTTCCCTTCTAGTATCCCATCGTCAAGGTGTCATAAATCTTCAGTGTTTGGAAAACAATGCTTCCCAATAAGATGTTGTGTTTTCAAGTAATTAACTTTGGAATTGAGGGAAGGGAAGTTAAAAACAAAAAGGAATCTTAGATAATTATCATACTTTAATTTGAACATTTCTGTCTCACACACCAGGACAACTCTTGTACCAATTCAGTTGCAATTTTAAGTTAGATTTCGTCCATTTTTAGGTTTAGTAGCTGTGGTAAGTGAGTAAGCTGGGTAGCTAAAGCATAAATATAAGCTTCCACTAGGCTTTTGAAAATAAAAAGACCACGATTGCAGTTTGCATGAATTTCCGATGGAATAATTTATTGAAACAGATACAAAGATTTGATCACAATCATCAATGTTTAAAAGACATAAAAAAAAAACTCTACATAGCATTTACCAGAATATAGGAAATATAGATTTACTCTTTTAAAAACAATCCATACACAACACCTCGTTGGTCCCATTATTAAGAATGAAAAGGATTTTTAATGAGTGGTCAACTACAAAATGATACCAGGCTGTAGACAAACAGAAGTCTAGGCTACAGAACTCCAAAAGCCAAAAACTTGTTCTGATGTTTATTAAGAACATAGAAATCTGCTCATGTCGCACAGAAAGACGAGAAAGTGTAAAAAAAAGACAAGAAATATATACACTATCCTTTTTGGGAAACTTCCTATCATAAATCATCTTGTAAAAACCAACAAAAGTTACATAATTAGCATCATACAATACGCACACACGCTCATTTCTCTGGCCCGCGGGTCCAGTTTAGTCTCTGGGAGGTTTAAGTTTCTGGCGTTTTTTAAGTATTATAGGGTGATGACGGTGCCGTCCTCCTCCACCCCTCCCTTGGGGAGCGCGAGGCTGTGCCGCGGGTCCGTTTTCAGGGAGCTGAGGATTTTGTGCAGGCTGCCGTTGCTGTGGCGGAGGGCCGGGTTGCTGCTGTGGTGCAGGGGCTGCGTGGGGTGGGGGCCGTGCGGGGGGGGGCAGGCCGTGCTTAAGGTTCAGGTCTCTGTGGAGCTGCTGGCTCAGGCCGCTGTGCTGGTGCTGGTGGTGGTGGTAGGACCCTCCGTTCAGACTGGTCTGGGAGTAAATGGAGGCATTGGACACGACCGATAGCGGGCGCGTGGGGGGGCTGGGCGGTGTCGGCGGGCTGGGCGCCGTCATGGGCGCCTGCTGGTGCGAGCGGGACGCGCCGGACACGCCGGACGCTAAAGAGGCGTTGGACCGCTGGGACGGCCGCTTCAGGCTGCTCTCGATGACGATGTCCGTGTCCTCGTCGCTCTCCAGGTCGTCGTGGTAGGCGTGCGCGCCCGAGTGTATTTCCCGCGCCGAGGCCAGGGGCAGCGTCGGGTAGCCGGTGGAGCCGCCGCTGTCGGACGACTGGCCCGAGCTGCCCGAGATGCGGCTGCTGCGGACCACGTTGTTGCGCTGGTTGACCGGCTTGACCGTCACGATCAGGTTGTGGCTGTTGGCGATCATCATGTCCGTGACCTGGTCCAGCGACTTGCCCGTCACCTCGATGCCGTTCACCTCCAGGACCTCGTCGTTGACCGCCAGCAGGCCCGTGCTCTCGGCCAGGCCGCCGGGCACCAGGCGGGAGATGAAGATGCCGGGGACCTTCTCCAGGCCGTGCGGCGTCACGCGCACGCTGGTGCCGTCCCGGATGTAGAAGCCCAGCGGCTTGTCCGAGCCGTGGCGGTAGAGCCGGACGCGGCGGTGGGACTCGGGCAGGATGTCCACGTCGATGATGGAGGAGACGGGGCGGAAGTCCAGGGGCTTGCCGATGAGGGGCCGCTTGCGCGCCACGTCGCTGTGGCGCAGCGTCACCACCGCCTTCTTCTTCCGCGTTATGGTGTTGGTGCCGAACGTGCTGTAGTCCGCCTCCTCTGCAAACACACACACACACAAAGGAAAACAGACATAAATACGTCTTTCAACACTCAGGTGGTGCAAGCCTGTTTTTCTACCCATCTGTATAATCTTTTTTGCTCAATCTAAACAGAAAAACAAAACAAAAAAACAACAATCTGATCATTTTCCACGATTTACATCATCTCTAATCAAACTACCAGCCATACAAACTCGGCAACCTTTGGTCGAAAAAAGAATTTCCCCCTGAAAAAGCTCGGTTATTTAAAGCATTCTTTATCTAAGATATGATATCATTGAGACACGTATATGTGAAGGCCAGCGTCCTGATTCGTGCCGCAACTAGTCAAGGTTAGAGTAAAAAAACTCCAACTAGGCTTGAAGCTGTCAGCAACAGAGACGGTTACCACGAAAGCCGTGAATTTTTTTTTTCTAATGCGCGCACTTCTGTGAAAAGTGCTGAGTGTGTGGAGCATTCCTGTGCTGACGGACGAGGCCCACCCGTCTGCTGCCAGGCAGCAGCTGAAGAGAGAGACCCGCTTTTACATTTCCCTGCTTTCAGAAACGAGCGCATACATGCACCGTCCCTCAGAAGGGGGACGCGGGAGGGTCAGTGTGGTCATCTCAATTACAGTGTGGTGTTTCCCGAAATTCTGAGCCATCAGTGGAACAATGAAAGCCTTCATGGAGGACTAGATAACCCCCTTTTTGACAAGCGAGATCCTCGGAATAATGCAACCACAGCTCGGCCTACTCGTGCTCTAACTTAAATAACACTGAAAAATTCAAGTAAAGTGGGAGATAAACGGAGAAAAAGTTGCTCGGTGGTGGAAAAAAAAGAACTTGATATCTGTCTAATCTTCCTCTCTCAGGCAGACAGGAAATCTGGACACAGCAAAAGCCCGATGTGACAGGAAGTAAAAGCCCCCCCAGAGGGAGCATCATTTTCTTCTTCCATGAGTCACGTTTGCCCTTTTTGTTGGGGGCACCTTTCCTCGTGAAGCAGCCATCCGCATTGGGGCTTTTGTTTTTACCCCGTTGAGAGTCGGTCGAGAAGTTGTTTTCCATTCTAAGTGAAGCGCGGACCCCCCATCCCCCCCGCACACCCCTCTGCAGTGCTGACGCATCAGTAACACACGTGGTCTTCCTCCGGGAGCTTCCCATTCCGGCCCTCAGTGACGCGGGCGCGTGTTTTATGGCGGAATAACAAGAAAAATGTGTACGGAGGGTCAAGTGGGACTCTCGATCCATGTCAGGAGAAAGGAGGAGGCCTGTGGGAGTTGCCATGAAACGGTACACACAGGGGGATTGGGAGACTGGGAAAAAATCCGAACAGGAAAAAAATGGGAATGATAAATGATACTGTTGATGTAGTCAATTTAAGGCTCGTGGCTTAGCCCAAACAGTGTTGTCAAGTACTTCAAGACTTAATCCATGCGCCTGCGAATGACAAAAGGCCTAAAATCTTTTTATAAAAACGTCATAACAGCAAAACTCTGAACCGAATCAAACCCCCGAAAAAAGTCCGATATTCTTCGGTTTCTGCGCAGGTTGTGGCAGAAGTGGATTTGATTGAATCCAGACCAGGCATCTGCCACAGGGCTGGGTTTTTCTGCCACAAGTGCAAGTTTCTCCTGATGGGAACCATATTGGGAAGGATTGCAGCCCAGCCTCGTTGCAGGTTTGGAGCGCAACACCCTTCTTCCACACCCCGTCTCCGTCTCCAAACCGACGCCGCACCGCCTAGCGTGCCACATCATCGGGGTGTGAGGTGGGAGAGTGAGGGATCTGTCAGCCAAAAAAATGCAATATGGGCAAAGATAACTGGGTCTCAATGTGGAACAGCTGGTTGCTGAAACCCCACAAGAAGCATGATGCGTGAGTGTGATTTGTTTTAGGAAAGCTACAAATGCCAAATGCACGAGGTGTGTCTCCTCAAAGGGCAAAAATGAAAGAAGTGAGTGTTCAGTGAAGTAACAAGGCTCATAATACGTTTGTCATAATCTACCAGAATCTCTGCAGATAAAGGGATGGTGAATCCATTTTGCTGTGGTAATGAATCCGTTTCCAGCAATTCGACGAAAGAACGTATTTGCTAGCGACATCCTCGATTTTCCAAAAGCAACTGCAAGGACCTACAGTGGGTGAAATAAGTATTTGACCCCTTGCTGATTTTGCAGGTTTGCCCACTTACAAACAATGCAACGATATATAACTTTAATCATATGTACATTCTAACAGTGAAAGACAGAATCCCAAAGGAAATTCCAGAAAATCACATCATATGAATTTATAAAAATTGATAACCATCTGGTGAGGGAAAAATAGGCATTCTTTGTAAGTGGGCAAACCTGCAAAATCAGCAAGTGGTCAAATACTTATTTCTCCCACTGTAAATGAAGTTGGAAGAAAAGAAAAGCTCGGGGGGTTAAACACAGCCTGATGAAATCCAACTGATGCGACCACGGGCACCAGCCCGGTGCGTGTTTCTTCCAATCACGCAGAACGAAGCGCACAAGCCACATAAGTGGAGCCGCAGGCAAACGGCACGCCGGGGAAAACCGGCAGGTACACTTGAGGCCGCCGCTCACGTCTGACTGGGAAAAAAAACAGGAAGGAGCGGTTTGTCTGATCCACTTCCCACTTTGAAGTCTTCTGAATTGGCGGTTTTACACATTAGCAAAAAGCTTTTTTTATTTTTTTTATTCAAACTTCTACAAGCCTTTAAAACCTGCCTGTGACGCGTTTATGGACAGTCCTTGAATTGGATCCTCATGCCACCCACCTACACGGGACAGAAACGCGTCTTCTGCTCCCAAAAGCATAATGTGTCTGCACATGTAGCACAAAGGGAGCAGCTGGAAATGTTAGTTTATACACGTCTACACGGAAGGCAATTAGAGCACATCTGTAGATTCTAACTACAGAAAGCAGCTATATTTAACGATTCCTGGAACGGGAACCTTCAGCACAAACTCGTAAAAGCGAACAACAGCTGAGCAATGACTTGTGATTTGTGGAAAAAACTAAGAGAAAGATATTTGATCAAATGAAATGATTTCAGCCTTATTTCACAAAATGAGTTTGTTTCTTCATGGAGATCAACAATGTGGAACAAGAGGATATTTTATGAGAAACTGGCTCCAAAGCTGCCCAGACGACTACTAGCTGAAAGTAGCTCACAAGTTTGCCACTAAAACATCTGAGGGTTTAACAAAAAGCAAGCGATTGGAAATTCCATCTCTTTGGGATTTGGAAAATTCGGATGAATTTCTGTCAAACCTTACGCTCAACGAATCAGGACAATCTTCAGCAAAGAAACGAGCCAGAATGATCACTTATGGGTTTCCGATTCTTTTAAAACATCTGTTATAACAAGTAACAACAGCAATAGGGAAGCAAGTCATGCTTGGAATGGGATTCTAAATCCAGAAGAAAGGAAGAGTCTAAATAACTTATTTACTGGTTTTAGGAAATTTAAGATTACTGGATACAGCAAAAACATATTAGAAAAGTTGTATTCTTTGCTCCACAGTAAATATAACACAAGTCTCTGGTAGAGGACTGAGACTATACATATTTAACCCTGGCTTTCTGTGTGTGTCTGCAGGGCTGGGGTATAATATTCATGACCAGTGCATTCATCTAAGTGAGGGGCCAACACATCCGGAAAAAAACAAACAAAGAAAAACAAACTGAGAACACATTCCGCCGAAGAGAAATTCTCTCCATGTGTCAAACAAGCTTGTTGTTCCAAAGGAACTGCGTCAGAGATTTAATGAAATATGACTGCAGTCTGAAATAATGTTAAAAAAGAGACCCTTTTTAGTGTGTAGAAGAACAGATGAGCAAGCTTACTGAGCTCAGTCAGTGAAAGAATGGCTCAAAGGGACTAAATAAGGATGTTAGAGATAACACCGGGCTACAGCTTTTGATTTCCACCAAATGTGGGAGACGCAAGTGAGCAAGTTCCAGCTGGTTACACAAGGGTTATAGTAACAACAGCTGACAAACCTAATCCCCGCCACACTGCGGCAGGATTTGAAGATGAAGTAAACTGGCTGATCAAAGAAATGCAAGGTTGCTGCGATTTAACAAAAAAAAAAAAAGGAGAAAAAAAAGCTTTTCCGAAGAAGTTGACGACTGAATTGATTCCGGCTCAATATTACCTCAGGGTTGATTAGGTTTAACAGCATCCACCGTGATTCACTGATTACAATATGGAACAAATAGTCATACAGATGACAGAAATCCAGGAACACTTGCTTTGCACACCAGCTGCTTACCTTTATTCTTAATGTGACTTTATGCTCAGCTTCATATCAGGGAATTCCTCTAAAAAGCCTGCTAGTTTATGCCACTGATGAAACATAAGTCGTCGTACTTAAAGAGACTTAAATAATGAGATGTATAGTAAAAAAAACATAATCTCCTGGCCATTAAAAGGGCAATCTACACAGCACAGAGCAGTTGGTCAGTTATTATTTACCAACGGCTGCAAGTGACCTGATGCAGAAAAACGGCCATGTTGCATCCTGTTTTTTTTCCTTTTATCTGAGATCTTGAGCGGGTGAAAGCCAGCGTGGCTTCCTCTTATCCTATCTCCAACCGTCCTCCTTTTCCTGGCTTCCTCCGACGACGCTTTGCGGGCTCTTTTCGGTTCCCTGCTCTGTCTGGCAAAGTGCAGTTTTGTAGCTTTCCTCCGTTTCCCTGGACTTCAACCTGCAGCTTTGTTGGCTGAAGGGCTCTCGTTATCTTCCCGTACAGCAACATGCAACATGTAGCCATGTTTTAAAGCTTTCAAATAATCAAACTTAAAGGTCTTAAAAGGATTAATACAAATTTACCATCAAAATGCGCCCCCACTCTTAAGGATACGGAAGCCTGAATTCCAAGAGAAACACCATCTTCAGCCACCTTGGTGAGGTCAAAGTCTGAGGGGTCAGGGGTGAAAAGACAGCTTCAGAGAGGCTTCTGGACTCGGCCTGATGGTCTGCACTCTGACACTGAAGGAATGTGCTGGTAAATGTAGTTGGCGATATCTCTGATCTGCAGAATTCTCCACGACAGGCGTGGGTTTCACGCTCGTCTCAAAATTGTGATGGTGAAGCCATCCATCACGCCGTATAGGCAGTTTTTTTTTCTCCAGAATTCTCAAACTAGAACAATCCAATCTTAAAGTCTCGTGAAGCTGAAAAATAAGGCAAACAAAAAAAAAATCTCCTTTCCAAACTGGTTCCTGTCCAGTTGTTTCCGTTTTAGTTGCTATTAAATGCCCCCATGCTGCTTTTAGCTTTCAAAAGGCAAAGAAAGAGAGGAAAAAAATAGCCTTTGTTCCACTAAAACCTCCAGTTAAGCAAAGCTGTGAAAACAACTTCTTTTAAAGTCCTACCGCCTCTTTTTTCCAGAAACTCCCGTTAACAAAAAAGGTAAGAATCTGAGAGTTTTATGATCATCCCATTAGGGCGTTTGTGCAGGCTGCTTCCCGACAGGTCATCTTACATTTACCACCGACTTATCACATAATTTAGGCCGAAGATAAGAGTTAAGACTGGTAATGTGCGTGTTTTTTTCGCTCTGTGAGCCAAATGAGAGAAGCTCCAAGCTTTACTTACTTGGGCGAGTGTGTAAGACAGCGGCAGCAAACGTCAGCAGCACCATAATCACTAACTGTGTGTTTGAAGAGGTGTTTGTGGTCGGAGTCATGTGTGATATTTCGCACGGGCCTTTGTGAAAATTGGCGCTCCGTGCTAAACGCTTTACGTGCCAGAGTTGGCAAAACAAGAAAGGGAGAAAAATCAAACCGAGATTCGTTAATTGACCTGATTTCTTTTCTTACCTTTAAGCAACAGAACATGGGCCTATTTTCCCCGTCCGGAATGATTGGGAAATTATTCGGATGAACCAAATAAATTGACAATATTATGCACGATATTATTTATAATATAAATAAATAATTTCCCTCTGGGATTATTAAAGTATTTCTGATTCTGATTCTTCGTCTCTCTAAAAACAAGTAACAGCTAAAAAAGAGCCTCTCTGTACTGTCCCTGCCGTGGAAGTAAACA